TGTGATGATCACAAAGATGGCGTGCCCTGCTCCCACACCTAGTCAATAGTTCGGGGGATGGTTTCACTGCATTAGTGGCTGCTGCGAAAACGAATTATTTTTTAGTTTGGGTGGTCGGTTCTCCTCTGATTCTGTCATGCATTCCTTACATGAAATTGCTTTCCTGGTAGTAGACAGATAGATCCTCTTGGCCAAAGTGGCCTAAAGTACCTAAACGTGTCACCAAGTTAGTTGTCAGTATGAAAAAGAGGCAGCGGTGGTGCAGTTGCAAGTGGCACGCTTACCGCACGCGTGGTCAGGGGTCAAGTTCCGGATTGGCTCCCACCCAGGCCAACCGAGCCTTCTAAGCCCTTCGGGAACAGTTTGTTGGTATCAGATTCGTTTGGGAGTAGACGAATAGATCGGCCGGACCTATTGTATAGGCCAAATCGCGCTCAATAAGTCGCTACGATTCTGAATGGATATAGAACTCCAAAAGGGATTGATCAATGGCGTAGACTTTATCCTTCCATCTATTTTGTAAAAAAAGTATGATGAATTCCTCCATTTCAGAGACGACGCAGTTGAAATGTGGCTTCGACGTGTTTTCTTGTATGCAGAACCTCCTAATATCACCAATCTTACTGCTCATGGCACTAGCCCAAAAAGGTGCTTTTAGTTGATAATCTAAAACACATTCCGTGGTAATTTTTTGGGCGGGCCTAGCAACCATGGTGCCGCCCTCATTTCACACGCTCTTCACCTCATTGGGAGGAGAATAGGGGACAGTAGCTATGTACTATTAGTGGGTAGCAAAGTGCTCCATAGCCCACACGTCAATTTAGTGAATTTATTTCCAAGCAGTTTCAGTGATGCTCTTCGGTTAGCTGGTAAATCGTTGAGATGGACCACACTTGGGAGTTGCGTACAATTGGGACACGAAAGAGTACCCATTGACTGGGGATCCTCTTCCCAAGGAACTCGTCCAGTTTGCAGATGTGAGGCTTTCCTTGATTTTATCCACAAAATTCTTGCCCTAACTGGTCTGCAAGCGCTTAGAAGTTATGCTTCAGGTCGTGACGAGGTATCTTGGCTTAGGGACTATGCATGCGGATGCGGCTATAATTAATTATTACCCACCAAAGTCGACACTTTCGCCTCACGTAGACAGGTAAGTTGTTTCTGTGCCATCAGTAGTATCGCGAAGATAATTTATCAAAAACCAGTCGGATCGGCTGGCTTCGCCGGCTATATTGCTCGAGAACTTTTTTTTTTGGAAATTCCCCTATTTTACCGTTTCGTTCACCGTACATACCCTCCCCCAGTAGGCAGCCCTCTAATTTTTTCATATGCTATCTACCTATCGTGCAGATTCTTCCAGCGTAGGTACGCACAACTTATAAGATTATCAGAACAAGCCGGGTGTATTTAGGGGAAGTGATAGACGCCATGTAGAGGAGCAATTTAGTATTAGGTTGTCCGGAAAGTTCTCAGCGTTTTGGGTGTTTCACTTTAAACGATCGTAACTTTTTTAATACTCATCGGATTTAATCGAAATAGGCACCATTCGAATCAGCACACTTTTGCCAATGTGACAGCAGTCGAGAAATCCCATCAAAGTAAAAAACTGGGTGGTCGAAAATTCACGAAATCCACGAAGGCTTTTTTGCCTGGTCCTGATTGATGAAGTATTTTCCAGCAAGGGAGTTCTGAAAATGTTAGAAAAGGTGATAGTCGGTTGGCGAAAGGTCTGAAGAATATGGCGGTTGAGGTAGAACTTCAACCCCCAATTCGTTCAATTTATGGATAGTGATTTGTGAAACGTGTGGGCGGGCGTTGTCATGCAAAGGAATCGGACCCTTTCTTTTGATAAGTGTTGGCTGCATCTGACAAAATTTTCGGTACAATTCGTCGATTTCTTCACAGTAGGGTTCTGCTGTGATGGTTTGGCCTGGTGATAAAAAGTTATAGTGGATCACACCAGCCGATGACCACCAAGCCGTGACCAGAATCTTTTTTTCGTGAGGGTTCGGCTTTGAAAATTACCTCGGTGGTTCGTCGAAATCCAACCACTGTCCGGAACGTCTCCTGTTATCATACATGACCCATTTTTCATCACAGGTGACAATTCGGCCCAAAAACAGGTCGTTTCTGCTGCGCAAAAGCAATGCAGAAGGAACCTCGAGACGTGCCGATTCCTGCCGGTCACTCCGATTGTGGGGCACCCAATTGTCGAGTTTTTTCACCTTCCCAATGCGTTCCAGACCATCTGCAACAGTGGATTTGCCAACGCCTAGCTTTTCTGCAATCTCTCGAACTGTTTGGGATGGGTCAGCCTCCAAAATCCCCTAAAATCCTCGTCAGATATTGCTTTAGGTCGACCGCTATGAGGTTCATCTTCAAGGCTGAAATCTCCAGAACGAAATTTGTTGAGCCATTGCCGCACAGTGCTTTCTCTAGCACTATTGGGCCCCCACACCTGGTTAATTTGTTGAGCTGTTTCGATTGCGGATTGCCCCAATTTATAGTCGAAGAAAAAAATCGTCCGAAGTGCTCTTTTCACATGCTTGAAAAAATCTTGAAAAAAGAGGGTTTATCAAGCAATGGTGAAACGGCAATTATACCATCAGATAGCGCAAGAAATTCTCTACAGGATGTGCTACTGAGAAGCAAGGCAGAATGAGTTTTTAATCAGCAGTGAATGTACAAAAAATAGGTGCACAAAACGCTGAGAACTTTCCGGACAACCTAATACTTTGACTGAAGCTTCGTCCAACGCAGCTACGTATGCTAATGCGAAATTCTGATTCAAGCCACGGTCACAGCAGGTGTGCCCCTCCCATCCGTCCACCTATTCATTCTCTACCGTTTCCCACATTTTCCACTCTCCGGGCCGTTTTGGAACCGAATTACGAGTTTTCGAAAATTTTGTGGCAAGCGCCGCCCATCTATAGAACGCCCCGCCCATGATGTTTCACTCATTTCGTCCGCCAACTGAACTGATTGCCTATCGCTTGCCACGTTCTCCGCTCTCGGGGCTCTTTTGGAACCAAACTACGAATTTTTGAAATATGTAGCTCAACTGTGCGCACGCCCCGCCCACAGTGGGCGGGGCTTAGCTCGGTTCACGTGTGTTCCGTACATCTTGGCCCATGCCCTACCCAACCCACCCTTGACCCGTCCCTTCTAGCTGGCTCTTCAGGTGATTCCGAATTTCCGGACAGACAGACAGCGTTTCCGTTTATATATAGCAGGAATAGGATAGTAGGTTAGGATCTCCTAATGGGGCTCATATTAGGTCCATCCCAGGCACTATAGTTGATATTGTCGCAATAAATCGGGGCAGCGTCGGAAGGGGCGGGATGAGTCCGCCTCCGACTGCCTTGGCCTACAAACGTTAATCGGTTAGTGACTGAATGGAAAAACAATGGTTTTTTAAGAGGAACTAGAAAATGAAAATGAATTTTTCTTGCTCTAGTTCGATATCAACTCCAATTACTGTTCCTTTACGACTGCGATTATACTTTTGAATTTTTGTAATAGTAAGAGGTGTGTGCAGGGGACATCATGAAAATGGCAAGTGAGATTTCATAGATTTGTATCTGAATTTTTAATCAAAGCAACCGCTAGAGCAAACTCCCCCCCCCTTAACACCAGTTGCACTGCTGCCAATAGTTCTTAGACTGTATTAAAACCATTTAGGTCAGAACGAACTTCTGCACCGTTGGTGTCGTTCTCCCTTGGCCAGTCAGCTGTTTACCTGTCAGGAGGCAATTCACTTGACGACGAAGTCGTTCCGTTATGGCTTCGTTCAGGCGACATTCTAGTGATGCATGCTGCTCAGCGACTCGTTTACCATGCTGTAGCAGCCATTCATAATCATCGTCAGTTCAGTTTCAGTAATCCGCTGCTTCGAAGCCAGTCGCTAACACGAGCGAAGTGAATATCACGTTCGTCAGGATCCGGTACCGTCATAGTCCAGGAGACGGACACAGTACATCTATTTAGTATCCGCTCTTCTCCGCGCGCGGCTCCATCATCTTTTTGCGTGCGCGTCAAATTTTCGAACCTACATCTCAGCAGGTATTGGCATTGTTGTTGAAACACATAGCGGAGTCGTACTATCCCGCCTTATGCAGGGAGTGTCTTATTTGTCCCGTTGCGGTGAGGAGGACTGGAGGTGGGGCTTGGGGGCAGTGAATATGCGGCTTGAGAAGGAAGTTGCGGTCTGCGGAATTTTCCTGCCGGTTTTAGCGTCGTGGTTTATCCCGTTCTTATGAATACGTGATTATCCCCCACTCGATCGGAAGATTTTGGTCGTAAGCGACCTTACCGTTTAGTGTGGAAGGGGGGGGGGTTGAATGACTCTCCTCTAAGTCTCATCCTCATTTCACATCGCTATGCTTGTAACCTGTACATCATTTGTCGATCTGAAGCGGCTCGAAATTGTTTGTAATTCAGCTAGACGCTAAATGTCGATGATATGCAATATTTCCTTTGTCCCTTAAATCCATATCCAGCTCGGCACGTTCAGGACCAAAGAGTCCTACCTTGCGTGCGTCGCTTGCCACTCCCAGGCGCGGTTATTTACCGAATTGTTCTTTGTCACCTACCCTCACAGACCCTTTACTTCGTTGTTTATTCCGATCTGTTTTGTCTCACTAGGTTTAATTTTTTTTTTGTTTCCTTGCTGTTGTTAGGGTTTCTTGATAACCTCTGTTTCTCTAGGATAGTTGAGTTCTGAAATTAGTTTTTCTTAAAGAAGAGAATCAATAAATCTTGTTATACGCTCTTGCAATAGACGGTCAAATCAGGCACTCGTTGGGAATACCACAGGGGTCGTATTGCCGCCGAAATGGGGGGGAGGTCGTAATAAGTGCGGTAGCCAGTAACGAGCAGCACAAAGGCGTCAATGTGCTGAGTCCCGTACAGCGAAATTTGCTTTGTAGAGAACTCGGATATGTAAAAAAAATGTACAAAACTTTCACTCATCAAACTAATCCGAAATAACTGCAAATATTAATAAGTCGACATTATCTCGTAAGTCCGTTGGTGACTAAACAGTACAACTCAAACTCTGGTTCGCTGCCAATGATATGGCGTGTCCGGCCTGGTTCGCGCTTGGCGCTTGCAACTGTTTTTTTTTTCTCGAAAAAACCTCGACAAACGACAGGACTACCATATCGTTCATATGAGACGTTTTCCAGCAGTTGGTCTCCTTTATCTTGGTGGAGCACGAATCTGGCAGCGTTGACAGGGACATCTTCCATCATACGCAGCGGAAAACACTGTAAACAAGTACTACAGCTCGTCATGCTCCCTGAACCTTATAGACACATTTGCTCGCGTGAACGGACGTTACGCACAAGTTGCACCATCCCATCACCTCTGCGCGGCCCTCAGTGCGCGGCGCATCAAAGTTGCCTATCGCGCTAAACGAACATATCCTGCTCCTGCTCCACCACAGGATACGTTCTACATGCGTTCCTGGCTATTCGAACACGCTCACTTGAAACGGTACACAGGAAACGGGTTTTTCGGAGTCGGAGGTTCTCTCAAGAATCCCCATAGCAGATCTCGATGAATCCCGAGACTTTTCTAGAAACAGTTCAAAGAGTTTAGAAAGAAGAAAATCTTCAAACACTCGAAACCATTCTCAGATTTGTGAAATGTTGAGTTACAAAAAAATATATTGATTCAAACCTGTTCGGTTGAAACCACTCCCCAACGAATCCCTATGGCAGATTTCTCTGTGATTTTTGCGACGTTCATAAACGTTTTAGTACTTTTAAGGAAAGTGCAAACCTTCCTCTACACGAGTACGGTCTCTTTCCCACAGGTCCGCTTTTGAGGAAGTTATGGTCCTTCAAAGACACCTAACTCAGCTGGAAATTCTCGCTCCATGGCTAAAATTGCCGAATAATCTCCTGTCACAGCCGCAATTACATGCGCTTCTGCTACCGTACTCCAATAATCGGGTAAGCTTTTTACGGTTTGTATAACTGTTACGTTTAGTGAGACAAGCCTAACTTTCTCTTTTCCTCGTCCTCAATCTTGGGAATAGACGTTGTTAACACTGTGGTCGCTGATGGCCGCTCCCAGAGAGGGAGAGATCAGGTTAACGTGTCATTTATTTAATCGCGATATATCGTTATTATTACCATGTGTTTTCAAAACGGCCATCGAAGAAGTTCATCATACGAGTTTCTCATAATACGATTGTACCGTTTTTTGTTTGCAATCATCTCTGTATTGTTCTATTATGTCATGACTTCAAGTCGTCCATTTAGTATGGGCACCTTCATACAAGTAGAATTTCATAGTGGGCGTTTCATAGTTTCATTTAAGGCGAAAAAAACCGAACGGCAAAAAAAGGGGGGGGGGGTCGTACCGAACCCCCAAAAAAAAGGGGGGTGGGTCGTACAGGCTCGACAAAGATCCATCGAATGCTGTGCCCTGCTCGTTCGTATTTACTCATTCGTGTTTATCTTCTTCTCTGTTTATTCGAATATCGAATATTTATCTTCTTCTCGGTTTACTCGAATATCGATTACTTATCTTCTTCTCAGTTTACTCGAATACGCGTCAGAGCCAGCCCCAGCAATATTGCTTGGACCGCTCAGAGTGCTCTTAGGAGTTGGCTGTTTTTTTTTTCTTTTAATTGCAATTGATTCAGGTACCAGAGTTTGTTTTGACTCGAGGAAGGTGGGTGAAACCTAACAAAATTTCTTTTCTATTCTCTTTTCTGAATCAGGATAGAAATGAGCAAAAAGCGAGGGGGGGGGCCTCGTCAGGTGTTACTTTTTATATTTTTTCGGCCTGATACATAAACTATGAAGTTTGTTCTCTCGAGGGGGGATTGGGGAGAAACTTCATAAGTTTAAGTATAAGGGGGTCGTACCGAACCCCCAAAAAAAGGGAGGGGGGGGGGGTAGTACGGGCTTCACCAAAATCCGCAGATGTGCCCTGTTCAAAGCGCATTGCGGCTTGGATGAAAGGGTGGAACTTTGTGGACGCTGGCAGATATAATACATATCGAGCAGTGATGTGAACGATATGAGAAACTTCAAAATGGTAGACGAATGGGACTTTTGTATTTTGTCGCGTTCGCCGTGCGCGGCATACCATGCGGCAATGCGCGGCAAATTCCCGATGGGCATCAGCTCGTCATTTGGAGCAGCAAAACTACTATGCATTCAAGCAGAGGCAAGATTCCATGATGGATGACACTGAGTTCCTCGGCCACCTTGACACTCATTTCCGAGTGACCGGGCAGAACGGATTTTCCTGTCCGGTCACCTGGAGTCATCCGTCGGGTGCGGTGTCGCTCGCCACGCCCAGCAACGGGGCATATTATTTTCTTGTATTGTATATTTTCTTGTATGTATTATTTTCTTGTCTCAACACCGTTGTCACCCTCAAAAAAAGAGGCTATTTTCACACCATCATTACACGGAGTGCTTGACCGTAACTATGACCTTGTCTGTAAGTAATTCACGATCCACAATGCGGCACAGTATCACTTGCATTCAGAATCGTAGTCGCAATTTGAACGCACTATTATAGTGGCCAGCCTTATAAAAGCAGTTTTTGTATGCTCTCAGATGGATCCGATACAAGTTTACCAGCTCAGGAGGAATGGAAGGCTTTATTCGCTCGGGTGGGGCCCAAACCAGGATTTGACTCCGAGAAAGCAGGCGCAATATTCGAACCACTTGCCGCGACACCACTTTCACCTCAATCCGGAAATGTGACCTAAGAGAGAGATGGGGAACGGTACCAGGAATGACTTCAAGTTGGGTGAATCACATCTCACCAAAGCAAAAACTATCTTTGTTGGAAGGAAATAATCCATCTTCTAGGTCACAGGCGTCCCGCAGCAGCAGCGCTGCTAGACATGGGCAGACATTTAGCACCTTCGCTAGTTTTTTTTGCTAATTTCTATCGAATCGTACATCTAACTTTGGTGAGATCTGTGGACTCTTGTCAAATGATAGGGAGGGGAGGGGGTAAGAACGTCCTGTTATTGTTTTTTAAAGAGTCCATAGCTTTCGACTTTTGATCAGTACTCATGATTAGTCATGTCGTAGTAGTAGAACATTCTCCTAAGCCTTTCCGCG